GAAACCATCCGGTATTTTTCCTTTTCTTTCTGGCTTATTTCACTAAGCATGATCTTTTCCAGCTCCATCCATGTTGCTGCAAAAGGCATGTGTGTGTGTTTATTTATTTATTTATTTATTTATTTATTTATTTTAGTTACTGAGTATTATTCCATTATGTTATATGTTCCACATCTTTTTAATCTAGTCATCTACTTTTGGGCATTTGGGTTGTTTCCATGTCTTTCCAGTTGTAAATGAAGCAGCAATAAACATGGGGGGTGCAGGTATCTTTTTGAATTATTGTTTTTGTGTCTTGAGTAGATACCTAGGAGTGGGATTTCTGGGTCATATGGAAGCTCCATTTTCAGCAGTTTGAGGAAACTCCAAACAGTTTTCCACAGTGGTTGTTCTAGTTTGCATTCCCACCAGCAGTGCAGGAAAGTTCCTTTTTCTCCACATCCTTGTCAGCATTTGTTGTTGTTAGTTGTTTTAAGATGTGCCATTCTCACTGGTGGTATCTCATTGTGGTTTTAATTTGTATTTCTCTTATTACAAGTGATGTTGAACATCATATGCTTGTTGGCCATCTGCATTTCCTCTTTGGAGAAATGTCTTTTGTTCTTCTGCACATTTTTTGATAGGGCTCTTTATTTTTGTTGAGTTTCATCAGTTCTATATATATCTTTGTGATCAATCCTTTATTGCTAGTTTTGTGTGAGAAAATTTTTTCCCAATCAGTAGGATGTTTATTTTTTTGTAATGTCTCTTTTACTGTACAGAAGCTCTTTAACTTGATGTAGTCCTATCTCCTTATCCTTGCCTTCACTATCATTACATTGGATGCTGTATCTTCGAAGATGTTTCTGAAGTATATATCTTGTATTGTTTGTCCCATCTTTACTTCCAAGTATTTTATGGTCTCCATTCTTATGTCTAGGTCTTTAATCCACTTCGAGTTGGTTTTTGTGTATGGTGCAAGGTAGTAATCTACTTTCACTTTTTTTGCATGTAGCTTCCCAGTTTTCCCAGCACCATTTGCTGAACAAACTTTCTTTGTTCCATTGTATCTTTTTTGCTCCTTTGTCAAAGATTAGCTGCCCATAAACCTGTGGGTTTACATCTGAGTTTTCTATTCGAATCCACTGGTCTGTATGTCTGTGCTTGTTTCAGTACCATGCAGTTTTGATTATTATGGCTTAGTAGTATAGCTTGATGTTTGGGATTGTAATGCCTCCATTCTATTTCTTCTTAGTCATGAGTTTTGGCTGTTCGCAGTCTTTTGTTGTTCCATATGAATCTTATCAATATGAGGCCCTTACAAAGAATATGCATAATGACCATTTACTGAACTAGTACATAAGTGGCTATTATTGGAGAGCAGCACTTCTAATTAATGCAGTGAAACATGTATTGTATTTATTTCAAGTTGTCCTGTTAGTATATATGGAGAACTTCTGCCCTGCACTCCCTGAAAAGTTTATGTTTATTGCTGAGTCTGTTCTTCCTTCTAAGCTCCCATCCACAAGTAGTAGATAACATGTTCACATCCTACCCTACCCCTCTGACTCTTGGACCCACTAACTGTACTTAGTATTTTTAGATAGCATAGCTTATATTTATTTCTTTATTTATGTGTCTTTCCTGACTAGAATGCCATGTCCTTTGAAACAAGAACTTCCCTCATTATTATTTCACCAACACCTAGAACACAGGTAGATGTTCAGTAAATATTTCTTGAATTGCTATTGAATGAAAAATTGTACTAAGTTCTTTTGTTAATTGCTGATCACTACTTTACCATTTTTAGGCCTCAGGAAATTTGGTTCTAATCAGCACAGGTAGACACCACTATACTCAACTCAGATTCTGTGTCCAGATTCAAGAGGCCTATCTTATAATTAGAAACAAAAATATACTTGTGTTATTGAATAATCAGTAAAACTTCTATACTTTATTTCTCATGTTCTTTATGTGTCTGTGCACTCTTAACAGAGAAATAATGCATCCTAGGATGGTTTGGCTTAAACCGAGTTTAAATTATGCTTTCATTATCTACTTAAAAATTGTCACTAAGGGCATATGGCTTCATTTTCTGGGCATCTGTTACTAGGGACATATCTTAACAACAGTTCTACAGAATTCATACAGTATCACACATACAGAATTGGGGAAGCTTTACCTAACTAAGAACTTATGAGTTTATATATTTTTCATGAAAAAGGATAGTTTATATGTTTATCTGTATACCCTTTTAAAATAAAGCTGTTTTATGTTACGTTGTCCAACATACTATGAGCAACTATAAATCCCAAACTAACTTGTGCTCTTACCCCAGTCGGAAAATGTAAAATAATGAGATTGATGATCAAATTAAATATTAGTGGATCTTTCCTCATATTCTTGGAGTCTTGCTATTGTCTTCAGAAATGATAAAAGATCCTTGGGTCCCAGTTTTCTCTACATGAGTATGTGAAATTATATTCTGAGAGTAGTTATAGGATGAGTTATGATAGCTAATTCTATATTATAATGGTGAATGATTTGATTCTGGTTCTGATGCATGAAGTGTTAGAAGTTTTAGATCCTAGTCTAACTTTTTAAGTGTGAAAATGGGCAAGTTGCTTAATTCTTTTGGGCCACAATTCCCTTGTATATGGGAGGTAATCACAGTTACGTGAAATCAGGTATATATGAAAGTACTAAACACATGTAATTTGGTAGTAAGAAATCTCAGGAGAAATTCTTATTTAGAAAATTATGATGTAAAGGATAACCTAGAAGGAGAACTAAAAATTGTTCCCTATGTGCCAGCTGTCACTTTCAAAAATACTTTATAATTTCAAGAGTAATGATTATTAATGTAGAAAAAGAGAGCATAACATGGATTGAATCTGTAGTATTTTAGTTTTGGGGGAAAAATATGAAGTAATAATGATATAATTCAGAAAAGCTAAATAATGATGGTGCAGGTATTTATTACTTATTCTCCAAAAATTACAGAAATACTTCATAACATTTAAAAAATTAACTTGTTCTTTCTAACAAGACAAGTGTTTCAATTGGTATACTTGTGTATTAGGAGACTTATGCATAAATGTTAACATCTAGTATCAGTTTATGAATATATAAATAGAGTTTCAAGTAATTTTTTACAATCAAATTTGTTATTTTCACAGGTTTATAAAGTTTTGGTCTCAGTGGGCAGAAGTGAGTGGTTTGTCTTCAGGAGATATGCAGAGTTTGACAAGCTTTACAACACTGTGAGTAATAGTGTGCAAGATTATTATTTAAAACACTTAAGCATATTTCATAATATAGGTGATTTACTTATTTATTCATTATTTTATATATTTTTTACATCATTCTTCATTTTTATACATGTATACTTTCTCATCTTGAGTATAGTCCCCATGAAATTCCCTCCTCCTGTTCACCATGTACCATAGGTGATTTACTCAAATGATTAAATAAATGCTCATGTGTACCAGACAAGCAGCTTAGGATAAGAGATTCTTCAAAAGCATCCTAACGTTGAAAGTCTTCCTCAGATAAGTAGAAAGAGGACTATTTGACAGTTCCAAATGAACTGTTAAAGATTTAAAAAAGAAAAAAAAATTAGGTATGCAGCTGTAAGTATATTTTAATGTCACTGATCATTGGAAATAAATCTTTTCCACCTACAACTCAAATAATTGTTATTTCATTATATTATTTCTGGTTAATTTGTCTACCTGAAAAGCTTTCATGAGCCCTCCTTCTATAGTTTCAATCTTAATTTCAGAGATAAGTCTTACATTCTAAATTTTAAGTAGCATGAACCCAAATGAAATGAATATTGACTCTTAAAAGTTCTAACATAGTCTGGCGGTGAGATTATCTGTAAACTAAAACTAAAAGTTCTAACATAGTCTGGCGGTGAGATTATTTGTAAACTAAAACATCCCTAGTTGGTTGTTGTAGACCCCAGATTAAAACAGTTCTTCGTTCTAAGCTCTGTTTCAGTTAAGAAAAAAAAAATTATGCCTCAAATCCAAATTTAAATTTCTTTTGTTCTGTCTAATAAATAGGAATCTCCTCTTGCCATTAGTTAATGAATTGTTATTAAGCATTCTTCCTCCAATTTTTATATTTAAAAATGTGATTTTTCAATTTTTCTTAAACCTGGGTCTTGATTTAAAAAATAGTTAGATGATATAAATCTGTGATTTATCATTGGTAATATATAAATATGGAAAAAGTTAAGCATATATCAATTAAAGGATAAATTAATGAGTGGGCGAGAATGAATTAGACATTGTCTAGCTGTATAATTTCTTGTGTTTTGTTAAGTCATAAAAATCAATCCTCTGACTCATCTTGATTTAACACTTCACTGTATCTATATTTGTTCCAAATAATATTCAGATACTTTGCTAACTGAAGTTGAACTTTAAAAATATTATTTTAAGTGGATTTTTCTACATAGTACTAATACATATTCTAGAAAATATGAAAAATAAAGGCAGTATTGCTATTAATAGATTGAGCTTAAAAATTACCTATATTGGGGCCCTCCCTGGTGGCGCAGCAGGTTAAAGCACAGCACTAAGAATCAAAAGCTACCTACGCATGAGTTCGATCCCCGCCTGCCCCGAGGAGATCCACATGGTGCGGCAGACCCCTCCTGACCCGCCCGCTGCTCCCCTCAGCAGTGTACTTCGTCGATCTGCCTGTTCTGCTCCCCATTCTGTCTCTGGTGAAGCCTCTCTCCCTCTGCATCTCTGGCCTGTACCCCATTTATGAATAAATCTTTTAAAAAAATTACCTATATTAATTTATTAGAGGTAATTATTATTTTTACTATTTTCTTTTTTCCCCTTTTCTTCAGTGTGTATTGCATCCAAACTTGTTATAGATTTAAATGTTGCCAATCAAGGATATTGAGGTGATCATTTTTGCCTGTAAGTGAAGTTTCATTTTTGAAAGAGTAATGGTCAATAAAATTTATAGATGAGTAGATCCTCTGTTTTTTTTTAATGGCAATTATTGGACACGAGCTATTGGCTCCATTTGAAATTCTTGGGTTCCATTATATACATAATAAACATTTTTTTGAGGATTGTACAAATCTGAGCATACCTATAAGTATGGGTTATAGTCAGGTGAAAGACCTGGGTTTTACTCAGGGAAAAATCTTATATGATAATGACATAAGACATATGGAAGTTTTATGTGAATTTCTTAGATAAGATCAAATTTTGTTCACTGAACTACTAATAACTAAACATAATTCAATTTTATCATCTATCTCCCTCATTTTTCCTGAATTTTGCTTCCTTTTTCCCCTTATTTCATTAATGTCTGCGTTTCCTCTCTCATTTCATGTAAGTTCTCCCAGTTTTGCATTTTGTGATGAGAGGCAAGGAAAAAATTGGAAAATTATATCAATTGTGTTTTTTGAAACTACAAAAGTGAGGTTAAACCCAACCTGTAATTCCTTAAATATGAATACAAAAATTCTTTTCTTATTCTCCTTTTAGAATAAAAAGCCAGTTATGAGTAAATATTTATAATTTCCATTATTTATAACTTAAAATATATTTTTATGACCATCATTTGATTTTCAGTCATCTCATAGAAACTGTTGAACACATAGAATTAGAGACTGGTACAAAAAGAAAATTATATAATATAAATCCAACTTCCACAATTACTAATACATGTATATACTTGTTATATTTCTATTCCTAGTTAGCCCACTGGAATTTTAATTGTAAATTTTTAATATACATTTATAAAAATTATAAGGAGCCTTAACAGATGCACATATACACACACAGATACCATATGTCAAATAATAAATTAACAAGAATGTCTTTATATTGCATATTCAATCACATATTTATATGACTGATAAATTGATTTAAGTATCTTTTAATCATTAAGTTTCCAGTTTCCTGACCACCTTTATTTTCCTTCATTGTGCAGTTTTTGTGTAAAAACAGGGTCATTTTTTCTTCAGTTTTCAATCTGAAATTTGCTGACATACCTAGCATTATTAGTACTTTCTCCTAGTCTTTGTATTTCTTATCATTTGATAGGTATGTTGTTTGTATGTGCATTTTTTATATAAGTGCATAATAAAAATAACCTGTTGTTTACTGTACTACCCAAGTTTAATTTCTTCAGGGTCAGGTTGTTCATTGTCTGAGGATAAGCAATTCTGATAAACAAATGTATTTGAATACTGATACAAGGAAGCTAGCACAACAGGTATTGAAGGCAAAATTCTTTAGCTTTCTATGAGAGCTACTGTCAATATGTTCATATAAAAAGAACCCAAAGACCACTCTTCTCATGGTGAGTAATGTGAATTCAAAAATTTTACTCCAGGTTCTACTTGAGTCAATTAATGGAGGGTTTCCTTTATACCTCACAACTGATCTGTAAGATAAGAGCTAAATGTGTCCTATAGGACAGCTAAGGCACAGAGATAGTAAGTAAATTAAAGGCACAAATATACTAAGGGCTTTAGTGGACCAAATGTGGCATTTTATTGTGATGATCATCAATTTTGATCATGATGTATTTAAAAGCACTTGTTAAGTGTGTTTTAAAATTCAGATTGTACTCTGTTTTGATACATCCATAACTAGAAGACTTATAAAATTAAATTCATACAATTTTTTTTTTTTTTAGTTGAAAAAACAGTTTCCTGCTATGGCTCTTAAGATTCCAGCCAAGAGAATATTTGGTGATAATTTTGATCCAGGTAAGCAATAACTTCATGGACCAACCCTGCAGATTGAAGTTTGAACATGTCATTACACTATGTAGTAGTGCAGACTTTGGAAAACTACTTGACCTAAAAATAATACCTCAGCAACATGTATTCTGTGTACCAGATGTGGGTTTAAGCACTTTAATGTTGCAGTGTACTTAGTCCTCACAGCAACCTTGTGGGATATCATCAGCAACAGCATCACCATCCTTATGTTATACATAAGGAAAGAGTTACAATTACGTTAATTAATTTGCCCAGCATCACAACATAGCTAGGAAATCACAGATTTAGAAATTAAATTAGGTGTGTCTAATTAGATGGAGTCATTTGTGTAAATTTGTCTGCTATAAGAATCTCACCTGTTTGAAGACAGGTAACATGTCTTCAACTTTTTTTGTACTTTCACTGTAAAGTGTATGATGGATAATTCATGCACTAATAATGAATGTAAACATATCATTTTCAACTTAGTCATTTATTTTGCCAAGACTACTTAATATTACTAAGTTAAAGGTTACTTAAACTTTTAGAATTGAGGGTACTGAGTTTGGTACATTTATTTTATTGGCTAGTCTTAAACCTTTTTTTTGGATGACCATCACAAGATATTATACCCATAAGGAAGCCTTATAGATCATCTAATCCTATCCCCTACTTGAAAAATGAAAGACCAGACTTTACAAAGTCATCCAGTAGTGCAAGTGATACTGATAGTTACACCTTAGACTCTTAACTCCACTGCTCTTAATAACATTGTACTATCATTATCTTGTACTCTATTATTATAATAATAATAGCAGTAGTAATTAAAGTAACCATGCTATTACTTGAATTCATACTTGAACGCAGCCTCCTTTACCTCTGTTTTCATACATGTGGAAAATAGAGACTTAGCAAAGTAAAGTCACTCTCCCAAGTCCCACAGCTATATGTGGCATGATCTCTAGGTTTGTTTGTCTCTAAAGTTTATTCTCTTAGCTCTTTACTGTCTGACATGTGCATAGTGCCTTAAAAAAATGCTATCCTTCTTTCTCTCACTGTTAAAAGTGGAGCTTCCATATGACCTAGCAATACCACTCCTAGGTGTCTACCCAAAAGAGACAAAAACAATAATTCAGAAAGACACCTGCACCGCCATATTTATTGCTGCTTTATTTACAATTGGAAAGACATGACAACAACTCAAATGCCCCAAAGGAGATGACTGGATTAAAACGATGTGGTACATAGACACAGTTCCTCAGCAATCAAAAAAAGATACAACACATGCCTTTTGCAGCAACATAGATGGAGCTGGAAGGGATCATGCTTAGTGAAATAATCCAGAAAGAAAAGGAAAAATACCAGATGGTTTCACTCAAAGTAGGAGTATAAAAGAGCAGGAGAAAAAAAAATAATAATTATGAATAACTATATACCACAGACATTTTACAGGGTGGAATGGGGAATGGGATAAAAAATGGCGGTGGGTTACAGTGCATTGGGCTATGGTGATGTCACAAAGGTGATTTGGTGATGGGAAGCCCAAGGGGGTTACAAATGAGATGGAAAAAGGCACAAAATGATGTAAAAATAAACTATTACTTTTTTGGAACAGTTAAAAAAAGCTTTAATCCTAAGGCCTCATCTGAGATGTGGGTTAAAACTAAAGGATCTCTGATCCCTGCAGGCTCTAAATGCCCTTAGATTGTTATTATAATCAGAACAGGACTAAAACCTGAGTCTCCCTGAATCAGAGTCTGGCAGTTTTTTTCCTCCTACCCTATAGCAGGTTAAAGTTGTTTCCTTTTTGCATTTTTCTTGAAGCTGTGAAATAGAATAATTTATTTTTAGTTTAACACTTACACTGGAGACAAGAGCTTTCATTTTGTTACCTAATAGCATTCTTTTGAATCTCTATATGAAATTGCACTTGAATTACAGCGGTTATATTCAGATTAAGTTCTTCATTGAAGAAATTTAAAAAATATATATCTCCAACTAGAAGCCTTAAAGATACTATGTCAGCTTACAGAACTTCTTGGAACTATAGATTTGATATGCATTTTAGCCTTACCTGGAATTTTTCCCAGATATTTGATGACTTAATTAATGTTATTTTAAAAATTAAGCTCGGAATTGTCCCAAAATTCCAACTACTTCTTGTTTTACTCTGACCTTTCTTTCTTATATAGGAGTTTCCATAGGGCTTTCGAAACTGTTTAAGATCAGTAATGAAATGGACAGTCTAGTAGCTTTTATGCAGCACAAGCTCTAACTCTCTGAAGAAAGAAATTATGCTCTTTTCACAGTTGATCTCTCACTATAAAATGTACCTTCAGTAAGTATCCACAGGACAATTTAAAGCATCCATGTAATTGCTAGATTTTCTTTAAATATCCCAATGCAACCATTTATTTTTGTTCCCCCTTCTATAGTAATAAATCCAGTTCTTAAAATATAACTATTAAGAATAGTTATTAGTAATATAAACCCCACATATGGTTTACTCTCTGGTGACATAGACCAAATATAACTTATATTTGTTCATTTATAGCTGTATCTTACACTTAAGAAATAGAAATAAAACTACATGACTGAAAAAACTCACATTTAGTAAAAAAAACACTGTACATTAAAACTTATAGAAACATTTTACTAAACCAAAACTCTTTAGTAAGTTAGATAAACTTCTTAATCCTGTTGTTTAGAGGTTTCTTTGGAGGCATTGACCATTTTATGAGCCACTTGTCTCTAGTCTTCTATTTCTTCAAATTTTAAAGAATATTGTTTATGAACTAGGGCTTAGGATAATGGTTTTTTGACCCAGTAAGTAGCATGTTAATAGCAACAAAATTCGTAACAACTGAGGATTGTGCTTTTTCTACCAGGTATTATATAAATTTACATGTATTATCTCATTTATTATACAACAGCATAATAAGGTAAAAATATTGTTACTATTTCCATTTTATAAGTACAGATTTAAACCTTGGAAAAATTCAGTACATTCAAGACATTTGTATGAAGTTCTCTAGTTCTTAGAAACCTTCATGCTTAACCTTTATTGTTAAATTTCTGATATATGAACTTCAGTTATCAACACTCAAAATGCTTTGAACACATGGGAAATTGTTAGGAAAGTATTTCACGACATTTTTCAAGGGGTTGTTAAACAGGGAGTTTTGAGGATTTGAACAAAACAAATATCTACCCAAGTTTTATGATTAGTCTGTTTAGGACCTAAATTTTTTTAAGGATCTTACAATTTTTTTTTTAAGAATTTTCTTTTGAGAACTATGTTGTCTGCTTTATTCTGATTTTTTAATGACTGCATTTATAGATTTTAAAATATATTTCTAAGTATTATTGTATGTCAGATATGAATTAGGAGGTAACTCCTTTTCTATTCTTACATAACAATTGATGATTACATAGTCTGACAAATTGAAAGTTATGTCTCTCTTAACAGATTTTATTAAACAAAGAAGAGCAGGACTGAATGAGTTCATTCAGAACTTAGTTAGACATCCAGAGCTTTATAACCAGTAAGTAACTTTCTTTGTGTCCTAAAGAGGCACTGAAACCAGTGTACCAAATAAGTTGTTAATTGAGATCTTATGTCTTCTGTGGAATGTTATTGTTTGTAGATATTTGTAATGTTTATAAAATTTCCTTCCAGCATTTTCCCACTGATATTCTTTAATCTCCTTTCCCCTCCTTCAGCTCAAAGTCCTAGTCAATGTCTTTCTTTTTTTTTGTTGTTCTTGCAGTATAGCTACATAGATGAAACTTGAAAGAAATTTGCATAGAATTAAGTTAAAATGTTTTGATGTTATACTTAAGTTTTCAAAATGCCTTTATTAAGCACCAGCTATATATGTTGGGAATATAAAGAGAAAGGGGTGTCATTCTACCTTCCAAAGGGTCTAGTGGCCCTTCCAGAGGTCTCCAGACACATTAACTAGCCCCTGAAAGCCGGTAAGTTTTATGGTACATGCTAAAAGAGAACAGAGAAAAATGTGGCCTGCTTTTCTTGGGGAGGTGCAGGAAGGTTTCCTGGGACTTAGAGACAGACTATTAGTTGTTTGAGAAAAGAATGGTAGGAAGAACATTCCAGACAAAGGGCACAGCACATATAACAGGCTACAAAAAGCCTGAAATTTTCAGGACACTTAATTAGCAGCCTTTCTTGGTGACTGCAGTATAGTAGGCTTTCAGAAGAAAGACAGGCTGCAGGATTTGGCAAGGGTCTGGCATGTGTGTACCACTTCTGGTTCTTCGTGGGGCATCCACCCAGACAAACACTGTCCTTTTCTTCACACCAGTATTCTAGATAACCACTTACAGTAGTGCTTTTTAAGTCCTGTGTGTCCGATAAGGTTAAACTTCTTTCTATAGGCCAGAAGCTGCCAATGAAGGCAGAAAGGTGGGTCATTTTCAGAAACATTTAAGAACGTATAGGTTGATCCTGGCTTGGGATGTGTTTTCAATTTTGAGACTGGTATTTGGTACATGAGAAATAATCATTTTATTGTGATTTATATATTACTTACATTATTTTATATGTTTAAGTATTACGTTCTAAGAAGAAATAAAGAAGTAAAATATCTGGGGAACTTTCCACAGCTCACTTATCTATGTAGACTTAAAGGTTGCCTTATGGACAGTGATACAAACATGACACATTTTAGTAGTCTTTCAGATCACAAAACTGAAAGACTGTTTTTAATATTTGTTCTAAAAATAAGGATTCCTATTGTATAAGTTTTTACCTGGTTTTCCACCATTCTGAGGAGGTCCTCTGACTTTTTAATTTTCTTGATTTATCTGGTTCTTCTGCTCAGTTCTCTGGATTCCCTCTAATGTGCCTGGGTAGTGGCACCAGGAGATCCAGCACGCTCTAGGACCAGCCACTGATGTGTGGTGTTGTGATCATTTCACAACACATACAAATATCAAAACGTCACACACATAATATTCAATATTATATATCTATTATTTTCAGTTTTTAAAAGATGGGGAAAAGTGATTTGGGGAAGAGGTAGCTTCTTCATGATTGTCATCTCTCCCTGCAAGGCTACTCTTGTTTTAATTCATTTTTACCTCTTCATCTTTAATCTCATACTCCTTTCTTCATACCCATTTCCTGATGCCCACTTTAAAATCTTTGTTATATGTTGTTGGCTATTGGCTGACTGTTATTTTGTATAACAGTACTGTGCTGTAAGCCTGCTGTTTCTGACTGGTAACTGGTATTCTCTGGAGGCAGTTACCATAGTTTCCTTACTCATCTATCTCCCTTGTGATAAATGACTCTTTTGCTTATGATTCACCTACTCTACAAAATGTTGCAATGAATAACCTAGTTACCTGTATTTTACGGAACCTGTACAGAATTTCCTTACATGGCTTATTCCTAGAGCTGGAATTTCTGGGCCCAGGGAGAATGCATGCACAGTTACACCAAGTATTGCCATATTGCTGTTCAGAAAAGTTGCCTCATTTTACATTCTCATCAGTAATATATGAGGATATGTCTCTATCTATGTCTCTACCAATGTTTGGTATTATCTATCTAGTTTTTGCAGCTAGTAGACATAAACTGATATTTTCCTACTGTTCTGTGGTTTTCTGATTATTAACCATCTTCATAAATTTTCTTAACCAGTTGAGTTTTCTCTGTAAACTGCCTGTTTAGAGCATTGCCCATCTGTCGGTTAGAGTCCCTATATATATAAGTTAATTTGCATATTCCTGTTATAATCATAAATATTAAGAGTTTGGTTAGACTTTCTTATTATAAGTGTTACCATAGTTACTTTTATTTTCATTTTACAAGGGAGAAAAGCTGTTGAAACGCAGTCATAACAAAGTTAATTTTTGTTTTTAGTCCAGATGTCAGAGCATTCCTTCAAATGGACAGTCCAAAACATCAGTCAGATCCATCTGAAGATGAGGATGAAAGAAATACTCAGAAGGTAGAGGGATTGTATTTTTAACAGAAAAAATACCATTTCTCAAAGATGAAATTATTGGCAGTTATGCAACTGTTACCTAAAATGAAATAATTTCCTCTTTTGTAGATTTTCTGCCCTGTAGAATACATAAAAACAATTATGGTCACCTCATACTGATCACTCTTCTTCTAAAGCTTATAGAGTGATACTTTTTATAAATTGTACATGTTAATTAAAATCCTGAAAATACTATTACCTAGATTTATTACTAACCAGGTATAGTAAATTTTAATGTCTTACTGATTTTCTTTCTAATCTTCTCTTATTATACAGAAATATTTTAATTACCTAATTTTAATCTTACAGTGTATACAGTTTTATATTTTACTTTCTTGACTTTATATTTTATTTTTTGATCCTTAAAATCTTCATCATCACCATACTTGAAACTATGGTTTTGAATTTTGGTGAGCAGGGAGAAAGGTATTTTCAAGTTCTATAACTCTTCTCGTCTTTGTTAGGTTTTTATGTGTAGAGCAATCTTACAGATGCCAGTTGGCATCAGATAACTTTTTTTGTTATAGATAGGGACACATAATTAATTTGCAGTCCAGGTAAGCTAGGATTCCCTTATTTTTTTTAATTAATTTGGTAACATACAAATATAGTAAGCTTGTGTTTTATGAGAATGTTTTCAGCTTTTACTTCAGGAAGCATGTGGAATTGGTAAATCAGAATAATTTAACTCAGGATTATTATGTAGCAGTTATAACTATAAATCTCATTTAAATATAATTCCTTTATAATTCAAATTTGATTGTAACTCTTCTTAAATATATACATAAAAAATCCAAGGAAGGAATGATTGAAATATATACATACTCTATAATGTCTTTTAACTTTTGTGACTTAAAAGATAATTTTATGAGTTGGACCACTATGTCCCATAGCTAAAAAAAAATCTTTATTTGGAAAATAGGTATATTCCTTTTCCCTGACTACTAAAAAGAGTAGTTTCTTTCTCTGGTGTTCTAAGAGGATTCTCAGTTAAGAGAACAGATTGAACTTTTGCATCTGATGTGATTGTTCCTAGGACAATGTAAAAAGATATTTTAATTTTATATTTGTGCAGTTGGCCAGTTAACTAGGAAAATTTATAATAAATAAGGCATAGGAATAAATAACATATATGTAAAAAGCTCATGCAGTTTTTTAAAAGAGTATTTAAGACCTCAGTAGATAAGTGGAAAGGGGCACAAAGAAATACTATTATTAAACAAATGTATAGGAACATGTTCAACCTTGATGCTAATAACAAATGAAAGTTTAAATTAGCTTTTGCCCTTTACCAAATTAACAAAAGTGTAAAGTAAATAAAATACTGCTGGACTGATAAAGGTAAGGTACAGTGAGCATCCTTGGGCGTTGCTGGTGGTGGTACAATTTTATGCAGCTCTTTTTGAAAGCAATTTGGCAACATGTATCAAACATGAAAATGTTTATGTTGCTTAAGGAGTTGATGCTTTTAAAATTAATCCTTCAGATGAAAAAAGGATTTTTAGTTTAATATGATTTTTAATGAAAAATTAGAATCAACTTAAATATTCTTCAGCCATTATATTTGTTCTTACATATTGTGCATTTCAAAATGTCTTGAAGCTGATAATATTTTAAGCTTTGACATATTACCAGGTGAAATCAGGGCATAAAATTTTACATATGTATGTGTACAATGTAGTTAGAGTTCATTTTTAAAAGCTATGCAAAAATCATATGACTAGCTATGCAAAAATTCTATGATTGTTGTATTTTTAAAATCATCTGTTGGCAGAGTCATAAACTTTAAGTATTCTAAATCTTTTCATATTTTCTAACTATGAATATTGAGTATATGTTTTAGTTGTAAAAGATGAAACTAGTCAAAAAAATTTACTTTTTCTTCAAACTATTGATTTCCCAGTACATTTACACATTCAAAAAATATTTAGAAGGAAAATCTACATAACTGTGATTCTACATGTTTGACATACAAATTGAAGAGTATGTTGAGAGATGTAGATTTAGGTCATTTAAAGACTATCTTGATTTGCTATATGAGCCAGCTGGTTTTAAAAAAGAGAACTAAACTGAGAGGGATTCCTAAATTCTGGCTCCTGTTCTACCACTGTTGGCTTTAAATCTGAGTATTATTTATTTTTCCCTTTTCATCCATAAAATCTGAAACTTAAATTAGGATCCCTTGTAGTTTTAGAATAATGATGAAAGATTATCTTCAGAAAAAGCAGAGAACATTACTTCATCATATATTGTAATTCTTTATTAAGGACTTTTATGTAGATAACTAAGTGAGGTTAATAGCCAGAAAATATCATACAAGGCATCTGGACCTGTCCCATATATAGAGAGAGAAAAAGTAAAGACCACAAGATGTCAGGAAACAGACACCCTTGATTAGCACTCATTCTGTTAATAAATTATAGCTCATCCTCAGTTCAGTGATCAGATGTAATCTTTTTAAAAACAGGTGGAGTAAAAAAGTTGCCTAATTATATGTTCCAATAATGTTCATTATATTTTCAGAAATGTGCTCCATAGGAAAATCATTGCTGAGTAATAGAAATTTACTACACATTAATTAATTAAAGGCACAAGTTGTCTTTATTGTGTAATCTATGCTTGTTTAATTGTCTTCCCTCATCTACCTAAGAAAAATTTGCTGAAGGGAAAGTTACTCCACTTTGCCAGACATTCATTAAAAGAGTATTATAGAAATTATAGCTTAAGTTTGGTTTACATTATCAGATTCTACGGAGCACTATAATATTTGAGTAGACCTTGTTATGGTTATGCCACAACAAGACACCTCATAATGAATCAGTATTTATACATTTTTAAGTTTCAGATAAGTTTAAGACACATGTCTCTGATAAATGGCTTTGATAAAAAGATTTATCCTATTTAACTGTTGGAAGAGAAAAAAATCTCCATGCTGAAATTAGAACAAAACCCGCTTGTGTGTATGTTTACCTAGTTTCAAATTAAAACTCTTGGTCTGATATTGGCAGTTTTCCTCATTAAGTTATTTTCTATTCTTAATAATAAGCTATTATTTGAAAACTTTTTAACAAATATTTTAAATGTAAAAATGATCCTTCTTAAATTTTGTTTCAATACCCACCTCTTTCAGGAGCCTTCCCAGTTTACTTTGTTCTCTTATCAACGTTGAGCTTCATTTCTGCATTATTACCATTTTCCTTACAACTACCCTTGAAACTTACAAGAATGATTGTATCATACTGAGTACTTTGGGTACTTTTCCAAATAAGCATATACATTAAGAATTAGAATTTTAGGTTTCTTTAATGTGGCAAAATATCTACAGTACAATTATGTATTACTTGTTTGAAAAACATTCATTGACTGATAACCTTTGAAGTTCCAATAAGATTACTGCTTTTTTTCCCCTCCATCCCAACAGTTACACTCTACCTCACAGAACATCAACCTGGGACCATCTGGAAATCCTCAGTAGGTTTAATTTGTCTTAAACAATCTTCTAACTAAACTTAGAAAGATTCCTTTTTTGGAATGTGTAGCTATATGTAATTAAGCCAATTTAACAAAACAGCTATGAAATATAACCATAGTTACAGTGACTACAGTATTGTTGTATGCTTGCCTAATTTACTGCTCTAGCTTCTCTTTAGTGAAGCTCTGAGGAACTTTCAATCCATGTGTTATTTACTGGGTTCTATTATTTTGCCATTGTCACTTTTCTGGATGTTCATGTATGTGTATATTTGTGTGTGTGTGAAATCAGTAGACCATACTTCCCAGAAATCCGTAAGTCCTGGGAGGTACTCTGATAAAAGCATTTGTGTAGTCTCACTGATACTTTCCTGGTGCTCAGTGTCAGTACAACCCTACCCCTTAAGGCAGCTTGTTCCAGAGCAGTCATAGTGGACATTAGCACAGTAGGAGCTTAAAACCTTCTTTATCCAGTCTTTTCCATAGTCCCTTATTCATTTGAACACAGGGAATCTTTTTAAAGAACACCTGAGTAGCAAATGCAGACACTGTGCAAACTCTGAGTGCATTTTGGTGGGTCATTAGAAGTGATTTCCTAGAATACTGAATACAAAGAAAGATTCCAAGTCTACTTCTTGGTTTAGTTTAATAACTACCCTTGACAGATAGTGATGTATGCCATTGATTGAAGGAGTGAGATGTGTTGGTTATTCCTACTTTTAATTATCTCAGTCTTTTCCATTTAATTCTAAAATAGTCTTATCATTTTAGATAGCTAAGTATACTGGTCAAAGGATTGGATCTTGAGATACTTAAGCATTATAATAAGTCAGCGAGGGCCAATAATGGAGACATAAGAAAGAGTAATTAGTAAGAAGAGAAAAACTAGAAATATGATGTCATGAAATCAGATGGAGAGTAATCAATGTTCTTAAGTTGTTAATAGGGCAGGTAGATGAAGACTGAAACTGACCATGAATTTGTGAAGTGGTTGGTGATCTTTAAGAGCAGTTTCAATGATGTGGTGGAAACAAGCCCCTCACAGGAAAGAATTTGAGAGAACTTTTGATAACAAAGAACGCAGCAGGCATAGACAATGAAGTTAGATAATTGAGTTTCACACCAAAGAAAGGCAAAAAAAAAAAAAGATAATAGCTGAAAGAGAAAATTGATTTTGAATTCTGTTTGGTTTTCTTAGCTTTGAGTTGGTCAGGCAGCTCAAAAACTGAAATATACATTCAGTTAGTGCTAGTCACCAACAGTTAACAGAAAAGCCATGGATATGCCTTGGTTAATCCATTTACTGTGTTTGGAAAATTTGCATCTTTTCTCATGATTATATTTTTTGAAAAATTGTATCAGCATCTGAACATATTAGAAAAAAGTGAGTAATCCAAAGACCGGAGTTTTCAAGAAAAACATCCAAGCTTAGTTAACTATTTACCTCCCTAATCTTTAACTGTTATAATTTAACCAGACTTCGTGTTACTCTCAAGTTTGAATTGACTGTTTCTTTTGATAGTGAATTGAAGGAAATTAAAATCTAACTGGGATTATTCATTTTCCTTGTAAAATTTAGAAATCTAGACTATGTTGAGGAAAACATGTCTTTTGACTGCTTCAACTCAGTATTCTATTCCTGTATGCTTTTGTGTATATACAACTAATGTTTTTACTGCATAGGTTAATATAAAAGGATAATCTCAGTATTCTTAGTGGTTTATTTACTCCTGCCTTTCCCACATCACCATTTATGAGACTAAGCAGAGAGAGGTCTTTTGTCAGTAATGTCCAGTAAGCGGTATGTATGCAAAAGTCTGTGATGACTTTTCTCCATAAGGAGTTTTTCTTAATGACTTTAGTACATGTTCCATCCAGTAACTGTCTTTTCACATGAATAGCCAGAGTAGATAATCCTTGGAATAGATCACTGATTAATAGTTATTCAGTTCCTCATTAACAACAGTAGTTAGGTTTTGGGTTGATGCAGTTGGTTTAGATGGAATCTCCATTGAATTGAATGGAATACATACGTGTGTGTGTGTGTGTGTGTGTGTGTGTAACCTTTTGCATAGAGACTTTATTGAAGTCTCTCTAATGAGGTCCCTCTTATGAGGCTTAAATAATCACATATTTTACCTAATCAGAAAGTAGGTATTATTACCATTCCATCTGTTTCATGTTAAAGATGAAATACTGCCAGCTGCAATCATCACACTAAAATGTTTTACACCCAATTTTTATTTATTAAAGACTGACATACTTAGAACTGTTCAGAAGTTAACATCTCTCTAATTTCTAAGAGTTTAATTCTTACCATTGTTTATTTATTTCAGTGCTAAACCAACAGACTTTGATTTCTTAAAAGTTATTGGGAAAGGCAGCTTTGGCAAGGTAAGAGTGTTTATATTTTCCCATTTAGTAAATAAGTAAATATATATGAGGTCACAGGGCTTGTTGGTATCACCATATGGAGTTGAGATGGTTTCTGTATGTTTAGAACACTAACAAAATAAGGAGGTAAGGCATCTACTTAAATTCTAATAAAAAATTAATTTGTTCAACAAGTATCTATTGAGCCCTGCAATGTGTCAAGCACTGTTCTAGGCCCTAGTTAGATTAGTAGTGAAGAAAGCTGAAAGGTTACTATCTTTGAGATGCTTACGTAGGGGTGAAATAGTTTATTGAAAATATTCAGTCAGATAAATAATTACAAGTGGTAATGGGGCTGTGAATGAAATGAACAAAGCATGAAGTGACAGGATAATAGGCAATGGGAGGGGATCCTTAAATGCTTTGATCAAAGGTAACATATTTAAAAAGATGCTATTAAGCTGAGCTGGAAAGACAAAAAAAAAAAAAAGCAGCTGTGTAAACAGTCGGAGAAGGAAAAAGATGTAATGACTGTGGTTCTCATATGTTGGTTGTCAAGTGATTCATACAACTTTACCCTATGCTCACACCAAGGAATAATCACTGAAGGCTGCAAGTTTTGTAGATAGTATTTTCAGAATCATTAAACATGTGTAAGTCCTCTAGTATAATACAGTAAAACAGCAATAAAAACATTTACTAATTCCAGAACTTTTGCCGTCTCTGGTTTGTTTTCTAAGTTTCCTAGAGACCCTAAGCTGTCTGTCAAACACTTAAATCCATGTGTGTTTAATTGACTACCTGTTACCTGGGGGGTGTTAGTATAAGTAGTGGAAAGATAGAACTGAATCTTGTTTTCAAAATGCTTATAGTTTATTGGAATATTAGAAGTAGCCTGTCATTAAAAAAAGAGTTATCTTTTGGAAACTTCATGCTTTGTCCACTAGGCATTGGTTCTCACATATATACATCTTCCTCAACTTATGATGAGGTTGCCTCCCAGTAAATCCATTATGTATTCAAGCTATCATAAGTTGAAAATGTAGCTAACCTAACAAACATCATATAGCCTATCCTGCTTGCATTAACATACAGTTGGGCAAAATCATCTAGCAAAGCCTATTTCATAATAAAATGTTGAATCTCTCTTGTATTGCATGTGTATTGCTTTCACATAAAGTAGAAAATTTTCAAGTCAACTACAATAAATTGGGAACTGCATATAACAGGAGGTATAGGGTGTTAGTTCACCACCCCCCCCCACCATGGTTATGTAGTTGATCTCATACAGTTAATGGAAAATACCACTCTTGCCCCAGAGATCTATTGGCTAGCATTCATCATTTATATCCTTTGTCCATAATTGTATGTATCTGATTCTAGATTCATGTTTTGTATTTCTATTTCTAAATTTTACATTTTGTTTCATTTATCTGTCTGTTCTTGTACCAGTGCAGCTCTGTTTTGATAAGTGTTGCTCATCCATAATACCACATTACATTCAGTTATCATGTCTTTTAGCTTCTTGTAACTGTGACAGTTTCTTAGACTTTGTTTGCTTTTGAGAATCTTGATGGTTTTGGGGGAATGCTGGTTAGGTGTTCTGTAGGATACCCCTCTATTGGAATTTGTCTGATATTTTTCTTGTTATTAAACTGGGGTTATAAATCTTGGTGAGTAAACCCACACATGTTCTGGAAAATAAGGCCCAGCAGTGTCACTAATGCTGTGTCAGATCATTTCAAGATTATTTATAGTTATACAACTTGTGGGGCATCTTTAATTCCTTAAAATTATTATTATATGCAGTACCTTGAATGTGTCTACCTTTTTCTGGAGCAAGATTCTGTAAGTTTCTTCAATGCTTGAAAATGTCATCCAGTCGGTGGTAGAAATTCAGCTAAGCTACACGTGGTACTTCATCACTGAACTCTTAAACTGAAGCTTGAATAGAAACATAAATGTTAAAACAAAACACATTTGATCACTTAGAAACCATTTCCTTCTTTATTTTTTGTAGCATAAAGTATATAGCCTCAGTAATTTCTAAGGAGACTTCAGGATTCAGGGGTAGTGTGTATGAGCCACAACTAAACACACACACAATGTTTCCATGCATCTAAGATTTTGCCACTTAAATTTGGTAATTACCTCAAAGGTGATCAACACACTGAGTAACAAAAAGCTGCTGCCTGGCTATTCAAATGATCAGCATATCTTTTTGTTTTGTTAAAATATCTAAGGAGGGGCCCTCCCTAGTGGCCCAACTGGTTAGGACGCAGCACTGCAAGCTGGAGACAGCCGCTTCAGTGCCAGTTCAATCCCCCGCCCCGGAGGTGACCCACATGGCACTGCAGACCTCTCCTGCCCGCCCAAAGCTCTCCTCAGCTGTGTACTCCATCAGTCTGCCTGTTTTGCTCCCCACCTTGTCTCTGGTGAATCCTCTCATCACTCCTGCATCTCTGGCCTGTACTCCAGTTCTGTATGAATAAATAAATCTTAAAAAAAATATATATATATATATAAGGAAAAGTGGAGTTACAGAAAAAAATACAGTAGTTTAACATTTTCAGTACAAAAATATATTATCCTGTCCCTTTTGGACTTTACTTTTACAAAATTTAATTTTTGATTTACTGACAAATAATGATTCCTATCAAAAGAATGAAATTTCTAACAGCCTGTACATCTTTATAACAGGTTCTTCTTGCAAAGCGGAAACTGGATGGAAAATTTTATGCGGTTAAAGTATTACAGAAAAAAGTAGTTCTCAACAGAAAAGAGGTAAAATAAAAATAGCTTAATTTCTCCTAATTCCATTTTCTTAATTAACAGTGTTGTTTTATAGTATATAAGTTGATTCTTTACCTTTTTTTCTTTACAGCAAAAACATATTATGGCTGAACGAAATGTGCTCTTGAAAAATGTGAAACATCCATTTTTGGTTGGATTGCATTATTCTTTCCAAACAACTGAAAAACTTTATTTTGTTCTGGATTTTGTTAATGGAGGGGAGGTGAGTTTTATAATTAGTTTTCTAATACTGATAATGTTTTTAAAAAGAAAAATAAGGAAATAGTTGTTCCTTACAAGTTTTCAAAGAAGAGCCAGCATCAACAGCTATTGTGAGTAGCAAGAACCAAAGGCTCGTTAAGCACAATACAAGACATGGAGAGGTGTAACTACACAAAGCTCTCAGGCAGGTTATGATGTGAGTGGGAGGGTTCATATAGATTCCATGGATAGCTTTGTCACTGGCTATACAGTAAAGATAACAGACAAAAACATTTTAAGGCAATGTGATTTGTAATTTAGATAATTACTGTTTCAATAGTTGTATATAAATACTGTACTAGCCTGTGATCTTCTAAAATGTGCAAACTATTAATCAGATGAGATAATCCTCTAATAAAGGGTTCTGTGGTGATGTCAGTTTGGAAAATGTTTCATGTTGTATCCCTTGGTGATTAACAATACCTTTCTTGGTGAGTTGCAGTATGTTCCAGCATGTTAAAGACTTTGAGAAATTCTGCTTTAAACAAAGCTGAGATTTCTTTAAAGAAAAATATTTTTAACCCCATGGTCTCCTTTTTTCTTTGAACCAAATCTATTAACCCCATGGTCTCCTTTTTTCTTTGAACCTAATCTATTCTGAATCAGGAGCAATGTATTGGAAACATTTTAGAAAATGCTATTATAATAATATAGTAATAACAAACATGTATTGATTATAGTTATGAGTATAGAGTTATGTGTCCAGCCCATTGGCTTTTTGTACTTTATATTTACAATCCTGTTACATAAAACAAACTGAGGCAGAGAGAAGCTCTATAACTTGTTCAAGTCATATTGTTAGTAAGTACTGGAACCAGGAACTGAGCTCAGGAATTCTGATTGCAGGATCTAAGCTACTGATCATCCTTATTCATAACTCTGCTTCTCACATCTTTCTAATTTATTTGACCTCTGACCTGTGAGTGTCTTCAAAAATTATTTCAGTTGTTAGATATGTCATGTTTACAAAGAGCCTTAACATCCCTAAAACCAGAGCAAAGATAGAAAAGAGCATTTCATCCTCACTGTAGTATGCTTACCTGTAGAATAAAGGAACTAGAAGGAAGAACAGAATCTATTCTGCAAACCTAAAGGTGGTCAGACATGGGAAAGGTCATAAGGAGCATCTTTCAACCCTCTATATCTATGAAAAGAATGCCTACAAACTCCTTATTGTAGAAGCAATAAGATGAATCCCCTAGATTCTAGAATGTAGATGACTCCACATTGACCTACCTTGAAAGTCATTATTTTATATTGTGTGTGAATGCTAACATAGGAGAGTTTATTAATATTTAGCAGTTTATAACCATTTAACATGCATTATTTCAATTAATCATCACAATTCTTTGAAATAAACACCCACTTTATAAATAGGAAATCAAGATTCCAAAAGGTCTAGTAACCCTTCTCAATGTCAGTGTTTGAGTGTCAGGCCCTCAGTTTAAACTAGACATAAGTAAGTTCTCTGTAGCTTTGAAATGTCATGTGAGGCACCCAACTGCAGATGAGAACCTACTGCAAGCTTTCTGCTTTATCCTTGGTCTCTTCATGCTGTCTTAGGACTTTGCCTCTGAGCCCTTTTTACACAGTGACCGCTCATAAACTGAAAAGAGGTAGGCTTGTCTTCCCAAAGATACACTTGGCTAAGATAATAGAAATAAAGGAAATGAAATACAATGGAGTGGGTGGAGGAGAAGATGAATGGAACAATAGAAGAGGTATAATGAGAGGTAAAAGATAGAAAAGGAGCAGGAAGCAAAAGGAGGGGCTTAACTTCATGTGCATTGTGTTTCCCATTATTTCTATGATTTCCCCTTCTTTTCCCCCCAATTCATACTTCTACTTCAATCTTGACATCTGAGATTTATTTTGGTATACTACTTCAAATCTGTTTTGGAGCCAGATAGAGTATAAATAAATAAGGTTTATGATAGTAAGCATATAAATGAGCCTTTCTGAACCTCAAATTCTTCATTAGTTTCCTATCTCCAAGTAGTGTGGCTGGATTAAGTAATATAAGCATATAAATTCCTTAAATTCCTTAGCATAGTGCCTTTGATTTAGTTAGCAGTTGGTTAATGTTAAGACTTTAATATGGGTAGGTTCCATTAATAATGTTGGACTGATGTGATTAGGAGATTATTAGAGTGTTAACAATTGTACATGTGACATTTAGGAAAAGCAGTGGTAGGACCAAAACAGAGGTAATATTCCAGAAATAATTAAAAGATAACAGCAGAAGAATTTGCTCATTGGTTGACTGCAGAGCCTTAGGATAAAGGAGCAGTACAGGTGAATCCCCTATGTCAGCCTCCATTTGTCTGTTCTCAACAGGATGTATTACAACTGATCTTCATCGTAACCTTTCAGAAGAGGTTAAGGAAATTTTTTTTAATAGGTTTTTAAAATCAGAGAAATTACACACAAAAAAAAGAAGAACCAGGATATGAACAAAAGTCTAGTTAGCTTTTAAACCTGACACTTTCTACTGTATAAGCCATGTGCCTTACAGGACTTAGAGGTCTGGGCAGAAAGTTATTAAAGGAGAGATAGCAGTGTCTTGGAGAAAATAAGAAGCTCTTATAGATGAGCTGAATTTGTTGGCTAGTGAAACACTCAAAACTAGCAGATAGCAGAGCTTTGCAGTAGAAGCTGCAAGTGTAGTTCTGGGCTGGAGATGTTCACTTAAGAGACAGTCACATAGAAGTAATGGTTTAAAAATCTCTGGGATAGATTGGGTCACCTGGGCAAGGTGTCCAGAAAAAGGATAGCAGTGGAGAAACCAAGGGCAGAAACCTTGTAACTCCCTGAAGTTTAAGAGACCAGAAAGATCAAGAATTAGAAGTCTCCAAAGTAGGAGGAAACTCAAGGAGAGATCATCATTTTAAAAACCATGAGCCCTAGAATAAGAACCTGAAGCAAGCATCACCAAGTGGGTAACTTGATGACTAAAGGACAGGTTGTACAAATAAGATCAGAAAGTATAAGAAAAGAACAGGAGTCTAGCTGTTGCTCAGCTTGAGCCAGTTGCTACCACACTGACATTAAAGCTCAGGTACAGAACTTTCCTTTTTTTTCCCAGAGCAGGGAGGGAGGGGAACCTAGCTAATAATATTTTTTTTTTTTAAGATTTATTTATTTGTTCATACAGAACTGGGGTACAGGCCAGAGGCTCAGGGGTGGCGAGAGGCTTCACCATAGACAGAGTGTGGAGTAGAACAGGCAGATCTACGAAGTACACTGCTGAGGGGAGCAGCGGGCGGGTCAAGAGAGGTCTGCCATGCCATGTGGCCACCTCCGGGGCAGGTGGGAATCGAACTCATGCGGAAGTGGCTTTAGCTTCTCAGTGCTGTGCTTTAACCCTCTGCGCCACCAGGAAGGGCCTAGCTATTAATTTTTACCAAAAAAATTTCCAGTTTCTAAGTGTATCTGGTTAATTTGGGTTTTTATGAAAACATATGTGATGCAAATTATGTCTGTAGATTATATTTGGTCTACCAATCTCTAGTTTCTAATTTCCCAGTGGTATTTCATTTTTCTCAAATGAAAGAATAGTCGAAAAAGTCCAGAAGGAAATTCTATAGCAATATCAAAATTACTTTTCTAGAGTGGTTGTCTAGACTAGTGAGAACACATTGAAGGAGAAGATGTCATGAGAGATGAGTCAGTTAGCAAGGATAAAGAAAGGATATGTGATTGAAAGGAGAATGATGATTGCTAGGTGGGGGATACAGACAAGAGACAATCACAGTTCTTCGGTATATTTTTACCTCACCTTCAAAGTAACAAAAACAAATCCTATTTTTGTATTTATAGAATGTATTTGTTTTACGCTGTGTGTGTGACCTTTATTCCCCCAATTTTACAGCTATTTTTTCACCTACAAAGAGAACGGTCCTTTCCTGAACACAGAGCTAGATTTTATGCTGCTGAAATTGCCAGTGCATTGGGTTACTTACACTCCATCAAAATAGTATATAGGTACAGTTTTAAAATATTACTTGTTGAAATGTCTTTTTATTCATTTTACTTCAGCTAATATCGGTTTTGCCTTTCTTTTAATTTTATAGAGACTTGAAACCAGAAAATATTCTTTTGGATTCAGTAGTAAGTATTATCTTTCAAAAATCTATTAGTCCTCAATTTTTGTTGTCTTAATTAGTGGTAAGAAGTCAGCTTCAGAGATTCCAGAATGCATAATTGCATTAATCCCAAAATAACAGAACTTTAGACATAAAAAACAAATTGATAGTTGCCAACTAGCAGGGACTGGGAGAATAGGATGTGCAAAGATGAATGAGTAAGTAATGCAAGGGAGTTCCTTTTGTTTATTTGCGGTCATGGACAGTTCTCAGTCTTGATTGTGCTCCAAGTTACACAATCTGTACATCTCTCTTGGATAGAACAACATACCATACTCAATACAAATGCACACGTAAAAAAATGATGAAGATTGAATAAAATTGGCTGCCTAGTTAAAGATACTGTACTAGTGTCAGTTTCCTCAGAATTATATTGTACAACTATACAAGGTATCAGCAATGGAGTGGGGTAAAGGGGAGGGGAATGTTGGGTAAGGGGACTTGCAATGCTGTGTACTAGTTTTCCAATTTCCTGTGGGTCTATAATTATTTTAAAGTATAAAGCTTTTTGAAATCGTGAACATATGACCATGCCTTGTTTTACCTTACTGACCCTGTATTTGTCAGGGACATGTCGTCTTAACAGATTTCGGGCTTTGCAAAGAAGGAATTGCTATTTCTGACACCACAACAACATTTTGTGGGACACCAGAGGTAAGAAATGTGTGTCGTCATGCATACAAACATACATAAAATGCAGATATGAATCACAACTTACAAATCATAGATCCAAACTCTGAAATGAAAAAGTAACCACTGTCATTTTTGTTTCTAGCCAGTTGTATATTTGATAATCATCATTTTTTAACATTTAGAATTTGCTGATGTTGTTTTTAATTCTGATTGTGAGATATTATAGATATTTTTGAATAACCTAACCTACGTAAATTATGCTTACTGTTTTTTCTGTTAAATTTTACCATAGATTAATTATTTTATTAAATTTCTAAAGCCTATTTTTTAATCACAAATCAGAGATGTGCTAAAATTAATTGTGTTTGCATTACTTTATGAATATACTAACAGCCATTGACATGTGTGAATTCTGTGGCACATGAATATCCTAATAATGATTTTTTTCAATCATGTGAACTGGCAAAAGCACATCTTTCTATTTGAGACAAAAATGATAATCCTAATCCTTGCAATTTCTGTAAAAGCATTGTTAGTCTCATTTTGTGTGTGTATAAACACACGCACACGCACGTCTGATTTTAACCTGTTTTGATTTCAGTGTGTTTATAATGGTCTTAAGTGTCAGGCAATATTTCATCATGCATATATATGTGGAAAACATATCATAAAAATGGCTTAGAGGAGACTTCTAATCAGAACTTGAGTAAAAGTATAATTTAACAATTATGTACTTTGAAGTATATTTTTTGCCTTTTTTTTCTTTGTTTCATCTAACCATAATCCTTGCATATATTTGTAACCCTGCTGTTTGGTTTGTGTATGAAGTATATTGTGAAAGTGTGTTGATTTTATAATTAATAAAGTCTTTATTAAGTCTGGTAGCTTTTTATAAAAGCAGCACAGTTTTTTTGGTCCTCTAAATCTAATTGTTGGAAATTATTAACACCTTTTTTCATTTTGCATTTTTTTTGATCACTTAAAAAAGCTTAAGAAGAAATTGTTTCCTAGCATATAGTTCATATATGAAGAGCAAATATATATTTTATATGTGAAATTGTGTTTTTTTTTATAAATATCCATCTAGTAGCCAACAGCTTTTCTAAATAATATGTTAGAAACTGATATTGTCATTCTTAAGGGATATGATTAATCTTTTTCTTTCACTGAAAAGGAAGAAGAATTCTCAATTTCCACATTAACAGTTTTTAGTTTAAGACTAACAATTATGAATGATGACCAAAGAATTTCTTAAATAAGTTAATCTTATGTGGGACTTCCCTTGAAATACCAACTTTACATACTTAGTACTCCAGATTTGTCATTTGCTACCCTATTTGTCTTAATTATTTCATAGTTCTGGGAGAAATGCTTAAATGTGTGTATTTTGAAAAATGCCTCAATTTATTCTGAAGAATCCCCCCGCTTCAGGGTATAGGGTGAGAATCCCTAACCAATTGATAATCTAGATAATATGTTTTTAGAGTGATAGTGACACTTAAAATGCATCAGGTTTCTCATTATTCAAATTTTATCCTGAAATGTTCTAACATGTAATCTTTTCTATAGTACCTTGCACCTGAAGTAATTAAAAAGCAGCCCTATGACAACACTGTGGATTGGTGGTGCCTTGGTGCTGTTCTGTATGAAATGCTTTATGGACTGGTATGTATTTCTGTGTTTTCTTTATTATTCCAATATATTATCATTTATCTGAGTTTTCTTTATTCCTTCCACCCTCACCTTCACTTCTTCTCTCTTTCCCAGCCTTTACCGCTACCCCCCACCCTTTTAATAATCTTGTGGACATTAGAAAATGCTAAGAGAGCAGTAGTAACCCAGGTAAATGAATCCAAAACTACAGTAGAGATCCACACAGAAAGAAACGCTTTCATTTTACCATTTTTTATGTAATTATGTATCTGTCATGCTAATCACTATGTCAAGTATTCTCATCCCACTTGAAATTATCTTAGAAATAGAAACTTAGTTTTAACATTAAAATTATCTACTTCATTCGCTTTACCCCAGTAATCATTCTGCCTAATTTGAGAAAATGAAAAGAAAAAATTTCAGTATTTTTTGGAAAAGAATGTGTTTTGAATTTTTGCTTTGTATTTTATAGGATTAAATTAATGCACTGCTGCTCCAGTTTTCCATCACTGGGAACCCTCTGTTCCCTTCATCATAAATACCATGTCTTGAAGTTTCATTGAAAATAATGTTTAGTATGTGATTAGTTTCCTGGCTTTATTAATGAAAGACACATATGGCTAGACAGAGCTGATTAACATAAATAAAGTTGTTTTACTATATTGAGTTAATAACATTCCAACCAAAAGCAGCAAACAGTTTTTAAGATTTTAGTTAGCTTACTTATCCTTACAGGAATAATGTATATTATTCCTTAAGATTTTTTAAATATTTGGAATAGTTTCTAGGCTCCCTCTGTGGTCTTTGAGTATCCAGCTTCATGTTGGGAGCCCTCTCCTCACCTGCCACGTGGCTGCCCTAATAAGCTAACTACCTTCCTCGGCTGAGACCTACACTGGGGCTTGGTTGCTTTGTAAAATTTGTCGTCCATGGAAAGTGGGGAATATTTGTCTCATGTTGCTAATTGTGACTGATGAATTCCTCTGACAGCCCACACTGTCTCACTTGTTTGGCCTTGAATATGATCAGCTAGTTAAAAGACCTAGTTTTCAGTTTTCTTCAGGACTTTGAAAGTATAAAGTATTATCATTGTATATGAAATGAAACTTTTCAAAAGGAGCATTCAAAACTTAGATTTCACTGATGATACCTTATTTAAAAAAGTGTTAACTTATAAAGAGAGAAAAATGAAGTTTTACTTTTCTATAAAATGAAAGAAAATAACAAGCATCTATCTCCCTTAACTTGAGAAATTATTTTTAGTTGAAAACTTAACTAGATAATGCTTATCTTCATGTTGAAGCAGTTCCTCATATCTTTAAACTGTGATAGCAGGATTTTAATTCTACAGAGTGTACCATGTGCTGTCACTATACAAGTATTTAAGAAGGGACACCATATTCAGGTCTCCATCTGTACTAGAAATGTCTGTTTTAATTAGTTTATTCGCAAGCCTCAAAAAATTACTTAATATTTGATCTCTCTTGAATTTCTGTTTCTAGTAATTCTGTTATTAACCATATTGTGAGGTTGGGGGTGGTTTTCTCTAAAACAGGTAGTATTACAAGTTTTGGGTTGTTTCCACCTGACTATTACAAGATATTAATTGAACAGTTAGTGACTGTGTATTAAACTTTATTAACAGTGAATCTGGATTTTAAAATCTTTTCACATGAGAGGATATACTGCAGATAGACACATATCCAAAGAAGAAGCCTATGAATTTCTGTAATTGTCCAGACCCAGACTGCTGCCTGTTAATTAATGCTAAATCCAACTATTTTCAATTACATTTTGTCATAGTTTAATTCATACTAATTTTATTTTGCTTTTTTCCAGCCTCCTTTTTATTGCCGAGATGTTGCTGAAATGTATGACAATATTCTTCACAAGCCTCTAAGTTTGAGACCTGGAGTGAGCCTCACAGCATGGTCCATTCTGGAAGAACTCCTAGAAAAAGACAGGCAAAATCGACTTGGTGCCAAAGAAGACTTTGTATGTACACCTCCCCAAGTACCCAGTTTATTTAATCTAATTTGTCTTATGTGAATATAACTCTCCTTCTTTTTTCCTGGTATTTAATGGGAAGAGTACAGTCCTGGTGCACCAGCACCATGGAAAAAGAAGGATACTTATAGCAATAATTTTTCCCAGTGTTCACATAGGAATGTAATTGTTTCTTTATTTTAACTGAGGCAGCAAGGTTTACGCTGATGTCATTCAAGGCAGAGAATCATACCTCCTAAGATTCATGTCAGCACACCTCACCCAGTAACAAAACACCCATTAATCCTCCACTCATAGTCCACTGTGGCTCCTCCCCACTTTGCCCTTCCCCTCCTGTTCCTCTGGAAGAACTCCTCAGTTTTATAGTCAGAGTCCTAGGGTTTGCTACTTCTTGTTTTTGTCTTCCCCTTTGTTTCCTCTATATTCCACATGGCAAGAGAAATCATCCAATATACTTAATCCCCTTCTGATTTATTTCACTTAACATAATCCCCTCCAGTTCTATCCATGTATATCCATATTGTCACAAATGTCAACTATTCATCTTTTGTTTTATGTCTTTTTGTTTATTTGATTTGAGCAGTATTCCATTTTGTGTCTGTAGACCACATCTTGATAATCTGCTCATCTGTCCTTGGGCACTTGGTTGTTTCCACAATTTGGCTGTTGTGAATAGTGCTACAGTGAACACAGGAGTGCATATTGCTGTTTTTACATCCTTCAGGTACATAGGAGTAGAACAGTAGTGCATATTGCTGTTTTTACATTCTTCAGGTACCTAGGAGTAGAATTGCTAGATCATCTAATAGATCTACTGTTAGTATTGAGACACCTCCATACTTTTTCCTATAGGGGCTGAGTCAGCCTGTATTTCCACCAACAGTGTACAAAGGTTCTTTTCTTCAAACCTTTGTCACCACTTGTGACCATTGTGAAATCAGTGTTGTTTCGATTTGCATTTCCCTGATATGTGATAAGCGTGTTTTCATGTGCCCATTGGTCATCTAGATGTCATCTCTGGAGAAATGTCTTTTACCGCTCCTGCCATTTTTCGATAGGTTTGTTTTCTTTTTGTTGAGTTAGATGAGTTTTTTTATAGGTACTGGAAATCAACCCCTTGTCAGATGTATTCTCCCATTCAGTAGGGTATCATTTTTTTAAATGAAAGATTCTTCCACTGCAGAAGCTTTTTAGTTTGTTGTAGTCCTATTTGTTTATGTTTACTTTTATTCCTCTGTTGGAGACACAAAACTACAAAGATGTCTTTAATCCATTTTGAGTTAATTTTTGTGTAAAGTATTAAATGGTGGTAGTTTCTTTTTCATGTGGCTGGTTTTCTCAGCACCATTTATTGAAGAGACTTTGCTGTCTTCACTGTCTACTCTTGGCTCCTTTGTCCTAGATTAACTGTCTAGTATGTGCAAATTTATATCTGGACTTTCACTTGTATTCCATTACCTATGAGTCTGTTTTAAAACCACGTGCACCATTTTTTCATTTTATCCTTCTAACAATTTCATCCTCTCCTTTTCTCCCTCATATATAGTTATCACAGCCTAGTATTTGATTTATATTTGTAAGGATATCTTCTCTTCCTTTTTTAAAAAAGGCGTGGCATGTTTTTTCACTACATAGAATTTTTCCCCTCTAGCTTCCTCCAATTTGAATTTTATTTTAAAGTAATTTTGAAATCAAGTCCTTTTTTAACCTCTTTATTAATTTTTAGATAGTATATGATTTCTCCTTTCTCCCCTCAATTTGGTCATTGTAATTCCTCTCCCACCAAAGTACCCATAGTCCATTACCATAGTCCCTTTTTCTCTTCCCCACCTTTTTTTTCTATCCTTTCCCACCATGTCTCTCATCTATGATCAGATTTCAAGGTTTGTCTGTGTCTTACTCTTTGTTTTATTTTTGTAGAGCCTACATATAAGTAAAACCATCTGATAACAGAAAAAGATGTTCTTTTTCCTTCTGACTTTTTTCATGTAGCATAATCCTTCCAGCTCCACCCATGTTACCACAGATCACTGAGTAGTATTCCATTGTGTATATATTGTACATCTTCTTGATCCACTTATCTGTTTTGTGGCATTTAAGCTGTTTCCATATCTTGGCAATGACAAATAGTGTTATAAGAAGCATAGGGGTACATGTTTCCTTTCAAATTAGTCTTTGTGTTCTTTGGGTCAATTTATAGGAGTGGAATAGCTGGTCTACTAAAAATCACAGATCTGTTTTTAGTGTTTTAATGAATCTCCACACAACTTTCCATAGAGGCTGGACTAGCTTACATTCCTACCAGCAGGTTAGAGGGTTCCTTTTTTCTCCACATCCTGGCCAGCACGGATTGTTTCTGGATTGGTTTTTTTTTTTTTTTTTTAATATGTGCCGTTCTCACAGATGTGAGGTGGTCTCTCACTGTGGTTTTGATTTTCATTTCCCTGATAATAAATGACGAACGTTTTTTCATATGTTTTTTTCTTGTATCTATTGGCCATTTGCATTTTTCTTTGGAGAAATGTCTATTTAGCTCTTCTGGCCATTTTTGATTGGGTTGATAGCTTTGTTTTTGTTTCATTGTGTGAGTTCTTTGTAGATCTTTGACATCAGTCCTCTACTAGGTATGATATACAGGGTTCTTCACCCATTAACTAGAGGGTCTTTTCATTTTGGTTACTGTCTCTTTGTGCTATACAGAAACCTTTATATTTTCCTTTTTTTCCTTGCTTCTGGTGATGAATCCTCAAAAATGTTTATGAATTTTATGTTACAAAGTTTTGCCTACGTTTTCTTGTATATATTTTATGATTTTAACCTATTTTGAGTTGACTTTTGTATATGGTGTGAGATGGTATTAACTACCTAAAATTATAAATCATTTTATTAAGACTTTAGTGTCTCTCTGCTTCATTGCTGCCTGGTGATGTGCCTATATTTGTTTCTTCACCTTACTTTCCTACTTTTTGTATTAAGTATTTCAGACTTTTCTCCAAATTTTTGGATTCTATTACCTCTTCATTTTTAGCAGATAGTCTTGCTTTTCTATTTTATAGGATAAACAAAATCACCAGAGTGAAATTGCCAGCTTCTTTCTATCAAATTTTCAGACATGTATACATCTGCTCTTGTTTTATTCTATTATAGTTGGAAAGGACAGTTTCTACTCATGTATTGGATTCTGACCCCTTGCAGCCTTATAGGGAACTCTATACATATTTTTTTCTGAACAGGTAACTGCTCCTTTTTGTTCTGGTTCCTTCCAGTTAATCATTAAACATTTTCAAGTCTCCTATTTGTACACAATAATGGTCATTCTCCCATCACAGCCAAATATATTGAAGATATCTATGTTCATTCTCCCTGTCCCAGTCTTCCACTTCTCAGTCTTTTTCAGCCAGAATTGTTGAATATTTCTACTCCTCAGCTTGCATTCTCAGTAGCATTGGAACTATACTTCTGGGCCCACCTCCATGATCTCCTGTTCAGGCTCCTCTTCTTCCTCCTGACCTTTACATGTTGCAATGCCTTTTCCTCTACTGTCCTCTTTTTCTGGACAGTTGCAACTTGTCTCTATGGCTTTGGTATTTTCTGTCTTCACCTTAGCGTTTACATCTTCCTCTATTCTGTACTCAATACTGACATAATTTAATCTGTCTGTTCAACAGCAGCATTTAGACTTCTTAGAGTTCTTTAGACACAGCATTTGAAAATTGAACTCCTTTAATCTTCCTTTTGTGTTCCCTTTCTTATTAAGTCACATCACTGTCCATCTAGTTGTTTAGGTCCCAAATCTGAACCATTCTTGACTGCTCTTTCCCTTACTTTCACATTCAACAAACAGCATGTCCTGTTGCATTTGCCTCCTAAATATTCCCATATTCAGAAAGTCCTTTGACTCCCACTGCTGCTGCTCTTTCCAACATTGTCATCTGTTGTTTAACCACAACAATAGCTATTGTTCCTTTATCTGGTCACAACTCTCCTGTCCACTCCCCTGTTACAGTATAGTGCTGTTAAGAAGCAAACCAGAAGTCCACATGTTTCATATCACCTCCCCAAAACTATTTGACAGTTTTCCAAAACCCAGAAAAATAAAAAAAAATTTTAATGTAGTCCGTGTGACAATCTCTATCCTTCTCCTTCCCCTAATCTCTTTGTCATGTAATGGACTTCATGCTCTGTCTGAACTGTCTCTCCTCATCCTTTTGACTAATTCTTTTGAGATCTCTGTTCTGACATTATCCTCTCTCACTTTTCTTTTAATACATAAAACTAGGCTGGATCCTCCTTTTTACATTCTAATGCCATTCTGCAGTAAAAAAAAAAAAAAAAAAAAAACCATAATCGGCACTGTGCTTAACTTTTGATAATACCAATCTAGACTAGAATATTTTTTGGTGGTAGAGTTCATCTTAAGCTTATCTCTGCCCCACTGCAATTCTTGAGTAACGTACTTCTTCACCTTCCCATTCAGATAATAATAATTCTTTGCACCTATGTAGTGCTTTATTCTTTTCATATCACTTATTTCCATGTATTCCACTGATCCTTAAAAAAAATCTGTGAAGAGTCTAGGGTAGAAATGTTAACCCTGTTTTACCTATGATGTAACTATGACTGAAGCAAATGTAATGTAGGTCTGTCATTCTATGTAACTGTTTTTCTTGTCTCTGGTAGTCTCAGCGTGGCAATGTTCTCACCACTCTAAGCAACCACTGGAAAAGGTTATCAATAAAAGCCAATGATTTAATGTTTTTATATAATCATATGAATTAAATAAACATGTACCCACAAAAATATTATTGAGGGCAAAGTGGTAATGATTTGGCTGTATAAAATTCTTAAGTCAGTACTTAATAGGTTCTTCTTCATAAATAAAAAATTTTTCCCTTAATTTTCTAGCTTGAAATTCAGAACCATCCTTTTTTTGAATCACTCAGCTGGACTGACCTTGTACAAAAGAAAATTCCACCACCATTTAATCCTAATGTGGTAAGTACATATTGAAAATTTCAAGTATTAAGTCCATGAGTGACCACATAAAACCTACACATGTCTGCATGAAAAAATACTAAAAATAACAAACTGTAGAAAATGTCCTTAAAACCTAAAGCAATAAGAGAAAAAAAACAAAACAATGACTGATAGAAACACAAACAAGACATAAAATATAAAATTACAGAAAGATAAATACAAAATGTTTTCAAATGTAAAATTCATTGTTCAAATTCACAGATATTTGAAGAAATGTAAACTAAAACCCTAACAGGTTACCAGTTTTCACCTAGCAGGTTAACAGTGACCAAAAAATTAGCTACAGTAAGTTAGAGAATTTATTCTCAAACACTGTTTATTCTCAGTAATTTTATCCTTTTACTTAATGTTGACAGTAAGCCAATGAAATTTTCTACATATTACAGATGCACTAACTGAGCCATAACAAGATGTTAAATACGTTGCCAGTTTCAAAACTAAAATTTGACTTGGACATGTTAAAGCTCGCATTCTTGCTTTATTTATAGTAATGTAAATACCACACTTTATTTACTCTATTTATTAAAGACTAATATTTCATCACATTTACAATATTAATGAAACTTAGTAAGAGAGATGCAACTTCTTTTTTTTTTGTTTGTTTTAACATTTTGGCACTGGATTATTAATGAGCAAGTGTCAAAATAATTCTTAAATTATTACATAAGAAACTTTTAAATGATTGGTGTTAGTCTATGTACAGTTCAATTTTTGGTATAAGTTCGTTGGCTGCAAGAAAGATAATTTGTTTTGTTTCACTAATAGGAGTATCTCTTAATGCTGGGATGGCCTCTACTTGGTATTCCTCTTTGATTTTTAGCATAATTATCTGTGATTATATGATTGGAGTTGAGTGGAGAAACATTCATCATGTTTACTCCAAATAAGGGTATGTAACTGATGACTCTAAACATGCAGAAGTACATAGGCAATGCAGTTGCCCAGTATTTTTGAGGTCAATAGGTTAAGCATATGGAGTTTAGCCAAGATTCAGGAATAAAAGTTCACATAAGATAAGAGTATGAAATCAGGTTAGGAGCTTAAGAACAAAGCCATAAATCACCTTCATGGCAAGGACAATGCTGATTTTCCACTGTTGTCCCCGTGACTTTAGATAATCTTGGGTCTTTTTATCTACCCTGGTCCCTCCTGACAGTTCCACTTCCTCAGCAGAGTCTCACCTACCGACCAGGGAACCACAAAGAGCAATGGTGGGAGGTGGTGAGAGAGGAAACATGGGAAAGGCCAGTTGCATTTCTGCCCCCATTTCAGTCCCTCCACCCCCAGGTGCAGAAGCGTCACCTCTCTCTTTCTTATTCAATATATGCTAAACAGTGTTACCTCTGTGAATAACCGTGAACTATGCATAAATTTAAATAAAAGAACATTTACTATCATTTATTGAATACTTCCCACACATATGATTCGTAGAATTTAATGTATTTGCACCTCAAGTCCTCACAGTAACCTTCAGAGATAAATGGTCGTATTCTTATTTACAGAAGCTCACAGAGATAGTTTTATATAAAAAATTGCAGCTAGCATATTTCACAGCTATAACTGAATTTTTAGTCTTATTCCAAAACTGATGCTACTAGGGCTATGTGTAAGAATTTGATACTAGATGTATACACACAAATAAAATTTTCTCATTTTTTCTCATATAGAAGGCTCTAGAATTCTGGATTTTCCCTGGTCTCTGCTCTGCTGTTTGTAGCACCAGTAGGCTAAATGTATCCTTAGCTTATAATATCTGCTCTGAATTCCTATTTGTTTACCTCTGGTTGAACTTCATATCTTGAACATTTTAAGGATTCCCTTCCTCTGAGAGCAAAAAAATAACATAGAACTCCAGAATGAACTAAAGAATAAATCACCTGAATTTATATTCCAGTTTTTGTCTATCCTTACAATGGAAAGGGAAGAGACTCCATTAGTTTCTATCAGCTTAGGCAGCCACCATGGTTCAGTTCTCATTTTCCTACGCTTCTAGAATTAATGGTGTCCTGGCCAAAGCGTTCATAACCAAGGAGAATTACCTTTCACAGTTGTGCTTGATGATTCTTTTATCCTGTAGTCTTCCATCCTTTATCAAGCCTTCACCCTACCCAGAGTTGCGAAACTAGATGGATAAGCATTTTATGGAAACTCAAAAAGTAAATGCTATCTTACTACCTGCCTGAGCCCCTTTTCTGAATTTGGAATCGCGATGTGTGGAGAGAATGGGAATCTCATTTTAGGGTCTCAAACTGAAATTAACATAGCTGAGGAAAGGCTAGTCTATGCTACTCTTCCTCACCCTTATCTCTCTTCTCTCCACCTAACAAGTAGAGAACAGGTAGACTCACCTCAGTAATTAAAATCAAGAAAGGAAAAAGTAGAAAATGTTTTAAAGAAATGATGATGTAGGAAAACATTCAAACTTGCCAACGATAAAATTAAAGATTCATAGAAGGGTTTATGAAGAGTTAAATGAGGAAAAAGCTGTGATGAATAATAGTATGCTTTTGATATTTTAGGCAGGACCAGATGATATCAGGAACTTTGATGCAGCATTTACAGAAGAAACAGTTCCATATTCTGTATGTGTGTCTTCTGACTATTCAATAGTGAACGCCAGTGTACTGGAGGCAGATGATGCATTCCTCGGTTTCTCTTACGCTCCTCCTTCAGAAGACTTATTTTTGTGAACAGTTTGCCATGCAGTACTCACTGAGCACATATAAACCCATGGATCAGACTGAAACTCCTGTTTGTGTGAATATATTCAGATATGTTTTAACTAGTGCCTCATTTTTACATGTAATGTTGAAGACTATGAAAAATGTATTTTCTGCTGTATGCAAGAAAATAGGGCATTTCAAGAGCTAAGTTTTGAATTAAAATTTGTATTCTTGTTTATTATGCTTATTTTTAAACAGAAACTTTAAAGCTATTGTTCTTAGCATTAACCTATTTTTAAAGAAAACTTTTTTGCTATTGACTGTTTTTTCCCTCTGAGTTTACACTAATGACTACCCAGGGTAGACTGTCTCCAACAGTCTATTTCAGTTCAGTTAATATATACTAATGCCTTTGTAACGATCTACTTTGACCTTTGTTCTCAGATCAGAACTATGCAATTGGTACAAGATTGTTTAAGAGGAAACCATATCATTTCCATAATAAATCACTGTTTGATATAATCACTTCTTGGTAGAATTAAACTATACAAGCATCATAACTACATTAGATGCTCATTAACAATGAAAAATCATTTATTCTGCAGATCCAATTAAGAAATAGCAAATTTCTTAATTGAATAGAATAGAAATTCTTTGCTTTTAAAATACCAGTTCTATTTTGTGAATTATTTTTCTTCTGGAGGAAGGGTAAAAGTTTAATAGCTAGAAATTTTAATCCCAATGATTTGAAGGGTAATAAAGTACTGCTGGACTTTTTTTTTAGGTGGTGCCAAAAATGAATGTGTCTGTGTCATGTATTTATATTATAAATACAATCTATTTATGTTATTGGTTGTTTTTAATGTTTAGTGTACTGTTACATAAGTCTAAATCTTGGCATTTGCTTTTGCAAATAACTGTTACAAGCTGTCTTCCTAATTGGTTGGTAGGTAACAGATACTGAGCTTTCTAGAATAGATACCTAATTGAGAACTAAAAAGTAAAATAGCACATTTTGGTCAGTATAAATATATATAGTTTATATATAACAAACTAAAAATAATTCAAACAGGATGCATAGTCAGTATCTTATTTATCTTAGAAAAAGTACAGGAAACTGACCTTAAAAATGTACTAAGAACCAACTAATTTGTTACTTATAATTATAAAAGAGAATACAGAAAAATGAAAATGAATGCCTTTCCTGGAATTTATGTTATGTAGGAAACAATGTGAAAAGTTCAGTGATCCACTTTAGGCAGTTCCAAGAGCAAACATTCTTTCCCTGTATTTACTATTTAAAAAGAAATCACAAACACATTTTAGATCAGTACCTTTTGACTTAAAAGTGTTCAGTAAAGTCGGGGGAAAGGAGTGTGTTTAGTAATAACATTGCACCCAGTACAATGAATCTTCATTTAGAGGTAAGATTTTAATAATGACACTGTAAATATTTGGTTCATTTGGCAATACTGTAATTTCTGCTTTTTAAAATCATTCTTCATTTTGTACATTTTTCCAACTCATTTGTATCCCTGTGTGCTTCCCACCAGCAATTCACCCATGTGCCATCACCGTAGTCCTGTGCTCTTTTCCCACCCCAGTTTTGATCCTATTCCCCTTTCTTCCCCATAGAATATCTCTGGTTTATAATTGTTCGTTGTTTTAGTTTTTACTTTATTACATTTGCTTCTCTTCCCTCTCCCAGCCTATCCTCCTTTGGCTCCCTCCCCCCAATCTCTTATGGTCTTGCTGTGAGTGAAACCATCTAGTATTTTTCTTTTTCTTTCTGGCTTATTTCACTAAGCATGATCCCTTCCAGCTCCATCCATGTTGCTGCAAAAGGCTTGAGTTTATCTTTTTGATTGCTGAGTGATATTCCATTGTGTATATGTACCACATCTTTTTAATCCAGTTATCTATTTTTTTTTTTTGCATTTGAATATCACATCTTCCCTGTTGTAAATAGAGCAGCAATATACATGGGGGTGCAGCTGTCCTTTTGAAGCGATGTTTTTGAGTCCTTTGTGTAGATACCTAGGCATGAGATTGCTGGGTCATATGGAAGCTCCATTTTTAGCAGTTTGAAAAACCTCCAAAGAGCTTTCCATAATGGTTGGATCAGTTTGCATTCCCATCAGCTGTATAAGAGAGTTCCTTTCCACATCCTCACCAACATTTGTTGTTGCTAGTTGTTTTAATATGTGCCATTCTCACTGGTGTGAGATGGTATCATATTGTGGTTTTAATTTGCATTTCTTTTACTCCAAGTGATGTTGAACACTTTTGCATATACTCATTGGCCGTCTGCACTTACTTCCTCTTTGGAGAAGTGTCTCTTTAGCTCTTCTGCCCATTTTTTAATGGGGTTGTTCATTTTATGTTTGTTGAGTTTCATCAGCTCTTTGTATATCTTTCTGATCAGTCCTTTGTCATTAGTATTGTGTGCAAAAATTTTCTCCCAATCAGTGCCGTGTCTCTTTGTTTCATGTAATGTCTCTTGCTGTACAGAAGCTCTTTAACTTGATGTAGTCCCAGCTGTTTATCTTTTCCTTCACTATCCTTGGTTTGGGTGGTGTATCTTTAAAGATGTTATTGAGGTTTATGTTGTGCAGTGTTTCACCTAACTTTTCTTCTAGATACTTTATGGCTTCAGGTCTTATGTTTAGTTCTTTAATCGATTTTGAGTTTTTTGAGTTTTGGGTTTTTTTTTTTTTTTGCATGGTGCAAGGTAGTCTAGCTTCTTCTTTTTTTTTTTTTTTGTACTTAGCAGTCTCTTTTCCCAGCACCATTTGTTGCTTTCTTTGTTCCATTACATATTCTTTGCTCCTTTGTCAAAAATTAGCTGACCATAAGCTGTGGGTTTATATCTGGGTTTTCTGTTCAAATCCACTGATCTGTATATCTGTTCTTGTTCCAGTACAATGCAGTTTTGATTACTGTGGCTTTGTAGTATAGCTTGAAGTCTGGGAGTATGATGCTTCTACTCTGTTTCATTTTAGTTGGGAGAGTTTTGGCTATTAGAGGTTTTTGTGGTTCTATATAAGTCTCATCAGTTTTTGTTCTATTTCTTGGAAGAATGTCCTTGAGATTTTTATTGGAATAGCATTAAATCTATATATCACTTTTGGTAGGATGGCCATTTTAATGATGTTAATTCTTCCGCTCCATGAGCAGGGGGTGTGTTTCCATTTCTTTGTGTCTTCTTGTATTTCTTTTATCAGGGCTTTATATTTTTCTTTGTAAAGGTCTTTTACCTCTTTTGTTAGATTTATTCCCAAGTATTTGATTTTTTTGTTTGTTTCTATTGTAAAGGAGGTAGTTTTTTTAATAGCCACTTCTTCTGATGGATTGATTGTGTAGAGGGAGGCTACTGACTTGTGTGTTGCTTTTATATGGTGCAACCTTGGTAAGCCAGTTTTTTGATTAGTTTTTCTATGGAGTTTTTAGGATTTTTCCATGTATATTATATCTGAAAATAAAAATAGTTTTACTTCTTCTTTCCCTATTTGATTCCTTGTATGTCTTTTTCCTGCCTTACTGCTCTGGCTTGGACTTCCAATATTGAAGAACAGTAATGATAATGGTCTTGTTCCTGATATTAAAGGAAAAGGAAAGGCTTTCAGTTTTTCTCCATTGAGGATAATATTGGCTGTGGGTTTGTCATATGTGGCTTTTATTATGCTGAAGTGTGTTCCTTCTGTTCCTATGATTTCAAGGGCTTTAAACAAAAATGGATATTGAACTTTGTCTAATGCCTTCTCTGCATCTAGTGATATGACTATATGATTTTTAATGTTTTGTCAGTTGATGTGATGAATTACGTGTAATTTCTGCTTTTATAGGAAGTTTTTACTTATTGTAAAGCAAAATATAATTTCTTCTATGATTTTTTTAGTCAGCCAATCCTTAATTAAATTGCCAAAAACTGAAGTGCAATATTTTGTAATTTTAAGAACAAATTTCATAGATCACAAGAAATCTTATATAATACAGTAAAACTAGCAAAAAAGATTACTAATAATCTAATGCTTATTATTGTTTTAAAACAAAATGGGTCATGATTACAGTAGTCATTTTTGAAAATGAATTATTCATGTACAAGAGAGGAAAAACAAAATTTTGACAAAATTTTTGGACACATAAATAAGAATTACCAGATTATCATATGCTGACATGTTTCCAAATTCCTTCCAAAATTCAAGCTTATCTTTTATCTCATAGCATGCCAAGTCTCGAAAAAATGTATGCCCTTTGAAAGGTCAAACCATTTTATGACTGTTGTCAAAATAAACTCAAAGATTTAAATGAAGCCTCTTAACATTATTAATACTACCTATACCTTTCACTTTATTGCATATAGTACAACATATGTGTTGGATTTCCTATAACTGTCACATTATAGCATACACTGAAAATTACAAAATTTCTCTCATCAGGGGAAAAGTGCTAAGTGATGTAGATACTGATAATGTGCTCTGTTCAAAATTTTAATATGCCAAAGTGATTTCTGATCTTGAGATATTTACAAAGGGAGCCAACAACACTGTAATTTTTTTTAGCAATTGTGGGTGTTTGAAGGGTTGTTTAGAGGTCTTAGATATCTTACTATAAAATTTTAGCACTTTTACAACTGTAAATTTCTATCTCTATAAAAATTTATCATTACCACTCTTGGTGTACCTGTCACTAGTATGATTGCCCATGGACTTACATAAGAAAATTTTACACAGATACTCTTTCTGAGTCATTCTTTTTTATGTTATATAATATATGAAAAATGGGAATGGATATGTAAAAACATTTTTAGTAATACTGGAATGACTTTTTCAAAAAGTCATGTTAAAATTGTTAATTCTCAAATAGGCAGTTTGAATTTTAGCTCTGTTTGAAATGAGGTATTCTGCCATTTACCTTCAAAGGCAGTTTATGATTCAGTTGGTTTTCATAGATTATGCCACATCCCAAGATGGGTGTTTGCTTATATGAAACCCTAAAGTGTACATAGATATGTATTAGTTGACTTGAGCACCTGCAACTGACATGGCAAGTTTTGTGTATAATTGAAATTGCCTTAGTGTACAGAGTGCTACATAACTTTATATAGGTACTCAAAAGTTCACCTGGGTTTCTTCTTTGCCACTTCTTTCCTCACCTAGTATCAAGAGTAATTTTTCTCTGACTTTCTGAGATCATAAACACTGGAGGTTTATATCACTTCTTTAGTATTTTTATTGTCTTACTAATACTGTATAGTCATCCATCAGTAAACCTTCAAACATTCCTTAACAGTTAAAAGAACTGCTGCACCAAACTATCTGTTCATTATGTCTTCATGTTAAGTCCAGACAAGATATTTTCCCACTTTTACAAAGGCAGTTAGGTCAGAAAGAAAAGTAACTGTCTCCAAATATAAGTATAAAAGACAGGAAAATAGAGGAGATAAAGAGGCAATGGAAGAGTCAACAGATAGTGGTAATGAGTTTAACATTAATCCAACTATGTCATCATTTTGAACATGATCTAGATGCATCCCTTAAAAGATAGATTGTCAGAATGGATTAAAAAACAAGCTCCAATATGTGTTAACCTACATAAGTCCACTTTAAATAAATGTAAAGACATTATACAATGATGCTCTGCATAATTACCTTAGTCTGACCACACAGGAGGGTGGTCCCACGTGCATTACCTCGTGATGTTTAGTGTTCCCTACATCTGTGCTACAGGAATAGTGAGAAATCGTGGATGACCAAATCCCTCTTCCAAGATAGACTGTAATTGCTG